TTTTCTGCATTTTAATAGGCTTCATGTCACTCAAAGAGAGGTATTGAAACGTATTGGTTTTATACGTACGCACGTACGTACGTATTGGTTATATATATATATATATATATATATATATATATATATATATATATATATATATATATATATATATATATGTATATATGGTTCTCTTGTCTTACCTTACGCACTGTTTGTACATAACCGAGCAGACTGTCATGCTTAGGGTACCTGTAGTGTAGTGGTCGGGGGCCGCGCGTCTGAGGAACCAGGGGTACGGGTTCCTTTCCTCTCGGTGTTCTTCCCCCCTTTCCGCCCCTTCTTTCCAGGAAGATAGGCGGGGGACGCATTCTCAGCAGACGAATTTGTCGTAAAGTCACAACGACGCACGGACTTAATGCACAAGCTTGACACTTACGACCTGATTTGACTCATTATTTAGCTTGACTCATTTATTATTTATCACAAAGGGCTTCGCGGGTTAGGCAGAACAGTAGGTACCCACCTGGAACAGGCAACGGGCTGCGTGGGATAGATTTCAAGAAACCATGGGAATGGGTAAGGGTAAGAGTAAAGTTTTTTAGGGAACATTACTCGTCTCGTCACGCGCCCTTTTGTGGAGTAACAGCGACTGCAGAGGTCATATTAGCGCTCAGGGGCCATCGCGCAACCGGGGTTTGAACCCAGCCACCACATGGAGTCCGAAGGCGCTCACCACTTGGCCATTACGCCTTTAACGGGTATGTGGGTATGACGCTTATGATTTGTCGGGAAAATGCCTCAAGCAATGGGACATATTGCGATTGCTTGTCCTTTTATTACTTATGAGCTCTATTCACACTGCTTTTGTCATCCTTTACGGGAAAAGTAAGTTTCGATGAAAACTGTCCTGAAAAAGTGGTTATTTTATTTCAAACATTGTTCTCCATGATTTTTAATTCAAGGGATGGAGAATGCAACCGAATGTGTGGCGGGCGGATACTTCTTACGAATGGGTAGCGATAAGGTATTGACACAGTCTCATGTGTATCGGATGCAGTTGGTAAAGGAAATCTTACCCAGAATGCATCACAAATGACACCTACTAATGTGAAAAATACGGTGCCGGATAAAGAGCTTTGTGCATGAGTGAACTAACATCAGCATTTTAACGTCATAACGCACAACATTCTGAAAATATACCTACCCCTACCAGTTTTACATTGTGACCTGATCTGACCCATCAAAGGCCGTCTGCACGGGTGAACAAAGACACTGTCCAGCTGCAGGTTTTCGCGAGCTATTCGATGACCATTCCCGCTTAGCCTCGTCGTGATAAGTTGCTTAAAAAGCCGGTGACTGTGTGGCCCATCCGTTCAGAGAAGATGAGAAATTACATGTTCGGCGACGGCTACGCAATAAAAGTATCTGATGAGGTGTCGCAAACAGAACGTGTATGAGAATAATGGACCTTTTTCACTGACCGAACGCCGCGCGGTGCCAAAGCAGCGTGCGTGTTATTCACCTTCTCTTCTATATTACTAGAGGAACAATGTGTGTGTGTGTGTGTGTGTGTGTGTGTGTGTGCGTGTGTGTGTTCTTTGGCTCACCTGCAGGCCAAACGGTCGGGAGATTTTGCATGAAATTTGCACACGACCGAGATCCGCTGGCTGCGCTTGACGGAGTTGCATCAAAATACTGGATTTCGCAAAACTAAACGCGTGCCGAGCGAAAAAAAACCGCAAAAAATCCCATAAGTCTAGCACGGGCGACACCAATTTCGCGATTTCACCCGACGGCCCGACACGCCTCGCTTCCCGGAGCCGTATCTCGGTAACCAACGGTTGCAGCGACATGCAACTTGCGTGGTACGATAGAGCATGAAATGGGTCATCGTAATAAGGTGCGTTTTTTGGCAACGCGTTCCACGTGACACGCGCACATGTGTTAACAAGATGAAATCGGCCGTTTTTAACGCGGTCTTACGTTCACTGTAATATCTCAGCGTAAAAAGCAGGTAGAGGCCTGAATTTTGTTTCTCAATATTCACAATTAAAGCGGCTACATTTTCAGTGTGCATCGCGAGTTTTTGCAACGCACCGTTGTGCTGCAAATTGCAATACATTTTGCAACGGGCAGAGTTTTTAAAACCAAAGCCGAATACAAGCCGCTGCCGTCAAAAGTATGGGCGATATAGCGTTGAAAACTACATCATCGTGTCGGCCGATTTGTGCTGTCTCTGACGCACCCTTTTGTTAATCACATTTTAAAAACCGTCGCTCGCAATTGAGCCTAGACTAACGGGCCGCATGACTGTTTTTTCGCAGCGACGGCGGCAAGTTGCTGCCCCGGCGCCCGGCGTACACACAAGGTGCTAAGGGTTAAAATGGCCGTTCGCGCGGCAGGCTGTCGACTTTGTTCATATCGCCGGCCCTTCTCTGCCGTGCATTCGGTCTTTCCGGCTGTGGCATGGTCTGTGGGCTGCCCGTGAGTGGCGTCTCTGCTCACGCATGGGAGCCGGCGGCGCGCTGTGCGTGATGGTCCCCGTGTTCGCAGTGCGCGTACATGCGTGGATTGTGTTTTCAACATTCGCAATTGACACGGCTAAACTTTCAGCTCATCGCGAGTTTGTGCAGCGCAACGTTGCGCTGCAAATTGCAGGACAAATTGCAAGTTGCTAAGTTTGAAATGACTGGCTGTTGTAATTCATTGCCTCCGGCCGATTATGCACAAAAAGGTGTATCATGTGAAATGGTACGGTCACGCGTATCGCGTCACACGGGCTCACCGATGGGTTTTGCTCTCTTCCACGCGTTTTACGCCACCTTTCGGCATACATGGCACAAACACGTCCGAGATTGGCGCGCTTCCATGATGAATGGAACGACCGAGATGATTATGTGTGGTGACAAGTGCGACATGTGATGGTGCCCACGTAGTGAACTACGGTCTTACACATTTTTGCTCTTTTGAGAGGCTTGCGCGTTTTTGTTATAGTTCAGAAACCAGAGAAGCATGTACGTCGAGACTGACATGTTTCGATAAGCGATCTAACGGCCAGTTACTCAAACGTGTACGATGTTATGCTGCACGTGTCATGTGGCACGTGCACATTAGCTGTGAAGATATATTTTGCCGATTTCGCCCAGTTTTACGCTTTACGCGGAATTTCCGCTCTGATGGCACGTAATAGCACGAGAAGGGCATGCTGTGATAGGCTATTAAAAGGGAAATCCCTTGGTGTCACGAGTGCGGGGTGGCACGGTACACGTGTCGGGCACACACGAGCCAGCAAGATGTGTTTTTGCTCTTTTCCACCGGTTTACACGTTTTGTGCCACATTTCGGCACCCAGAGCACAGAGCGGCTGGGGAGTGGCATGCATTCATATTAAATCGAGCAGACAAAGATGTTGCATTAATTGTCATGTCGCACGTGCTAAGTGTAACGCGTGCACGAGCCAGCAAGATAGATTTGGCCGTTACCGGCCGTTTTTCACTCTTCGATACAATACAATGCTGTTTAACACGACGGCAGTGCGTGCTGCCATCCTTCAAAAGGCTGACAGTTGATGGAAGCGGCCAAAATCACCGGCCACACCTCACGACCATTCGCTCATCCCCTGAAATAGGTTCGGCTGTGCTGTAGAGAGCGCGGCGAAATGCGCTCTCTCCTGCCGGCGGCCGCCAGAAACAGCCAGCACCGCACACGGCCTGGGCCGAGTCTTTTTTTCACACTTTATGCGTTATCTCGGCAACCAGGGCACCTAGAACCGTGATTAAAACTCCGAAAGATACATAATGAAAATTTCCCAATTTTACATTAACGCATCGAGGTAAGTGCGCAAATGCCAGTTACATCAAGTGCAGCGATGCGCTGAGATTACGCGTGCGAGTTCTGCCGGGTATGTTTTACGTTCGGAGGCACGTGCAATTTTGTTCAATATCACTTCCGCCTATCAGTTCAGAGTTATCATGCTGGCAGATATCTGCCTTCGATGTACTAAACGATTCTGCCAATGCTGAGCCTGATCCTGACCCGGGGTGCGTGCGTAATAGATGACGTCACTTGATCGAGCCCGCTGCGGGGATCTCGTTACATAAGGTGACCGAGCGCGCGGCGGGGCTCACATTGCGTAAGCTGACTAAGCCCGGTGCATGGATCACATTTACGGACCAGACCAGCACCGCTTACGATGCGTTTCGCTCTTAAGGCGCTGGATAAGATGGTAACAATGTCATCTTACGTCTTGTATTAGCCGCAAAGATTGGCGTTCTGGGCTGTTTTTGGAGGTTGACATCAAAAGAAACTGCGGCGGTGCAATCTCCCGAGTGCATTGGTCGAGAGCTTGTAATTTCATAGCAGCTAGCTAACTTACCTACACTACCTAGATGAAACTGCGCTACCATGTCAAGATATGTAATTGCCGGTGTTTTTAAGGCTTAACGCTGCTAGCAGGTAAATGTGTCCACAATTGTATGAAATACATTTGGGGAACAGATGTGCCAAGTGTCTTGCGTATCAGACCCTCGTACGGGTAAGCATGGGAGCGGTTAGGAGAAAGCGGGAATGCAAGAAGCAAAAGAAGAGTAAAAACGAAAATAAATGGTAGAATCAGAGACGGGCGAGATAATAGGAAGCAGTGAAGTTCAGATTATGGCAAAACAAAAGGAACCATAGAAATTTGGAAAACTTTTGATAGAACACCGTGACAACTGCCGCTTGTATTACATATCCAATGCATCGTCGCGTTGCAAGGCATCTCCGGCCGGACGCAGTGCTGCGCCATGTTGCGGGCCAAGTACATGCATCGGGCCGACGCTTTGGTAGCGGCGCAGCTGGGCCACAAAGGTCGTGGCCGCTGATTCATCGGGACCGCTTCGCACGACGGTGACATGGGTGACCTTTGCTGACCGGCACCAGTAGGGCTGACCGGTGGCGGCGGCCGGAGAGGGGGCCAGCGGCCGCCCCGGTGAGGATGCGCCGACACCAGCTGCCCCTGCTGGTGCTGGTGCTGGTGGGAGGTGCGGTCGTCACGGAGCCGCGGCAGCCGCACGGGTAGGTGCTCGAGGTCGTGCCGCCGTGCCCATGTGCGGCGGCTGCAGCGACCACGGGATGTGGCGGGATGAGAGTGATTCCGCGAGCCCTTCCCGCCTTCTTCGTCACCTCGGCCCCGATTCGTGTGACGTCCAGGAGTTTGTCTCCTTGTTGGTTTTGTCACCGGTCACCGTCAGGCTTAGGTGGGGAATCTAGCGCTTTTTTATTTTTATATAAACATATTAAATATATATTAATTTAATTTAATCCAATTTTATGTAATTATTATTTATCATTAATATACTTTTATATAATTATTATATATGATTAATATACATTTACATTATTATTATATCAAATTATTCAATATATAATAAATATATATTAAATTAGCGCTAGCAATTGTTTGAATGTCGGCCGTCATTGTCATAGTCCGCGGAACACACGCGTTTAAGGAGAGCTCTGGTCCCTAAGGCTCTTCCACAGTAACGCACACAATTTGCTGCGCGAAGGTATCGACTAGAAGTTATGTGGCTTAGTCCTTCGGGTAATGTCCACCATTTTCACGTTGCATTTCACGACCTTTATCGCCTTTATTTGCTATGTTTCTAGTTCTTGAGTAGCTAGATGACACTAAGAAGGTCAAAAGTTTTATCGTAGCAGGCGATCCTCACCACGCATGGTCCGGGGTTACAGCTGTCGTGATCTGTTGTGTTCTGGTTGTTGTGATCTGGTCTCGGTTATGAGATGCGGGTGTCGAAAGGATGTATTCTTAGTCATGAGTAATTAAGCTGAACTCTCGTAGAGCGAGAACGATCTTCGCACGCGCGAAGACCATCAAGGTGGCCAGCGGTCTTGTCATTGGCCCCTTAATGAGATAAAGCCGTCCCAAATAACGGTCGACAAGGGGCCAGCGATATCCGGTTGATATCCCCAGACACCTAGTGACCTTTCAATCGGGGTGACCTTCAGATCAGGGTGATGAAATAATGGATTCTGCGGGCTGCTCCAAATACCGCGAAACGAACACTGCGCCGCCAGGACGCTATTGCAACGGCGTAGCGGATTTTAACACGTCTGATGGTGAAGTCCAAAATTTGCCAGCATGTTGCATCGTGAACAGCGTGAGCCTGGCATCGACCTTGCAACAATAGGCTACTAGGCTGTTATATAAAACAATAATAGGCTGCTATTATATATAAATAACAAGAGGCTGTTAGGGCGTGAAGCGTTCATCATGCTTCGGGATGCCTAGGTAGCTCGGTTCCTTGGCTTTTTACCATGCGTATTGGCCGTGGGATATGGGCGTCAAGTGAATTTGCTGCAAACCTTTTCCAGAATTCGGCAGCATATTAAGGCCTACAGATGAGGCCTGATTTATAAATACCTGCGCTAAAGCTGGGTGCATAACAGCTCTACCAATATGCCCACAAACCCACATACCCATAGGTTGGTAGGTACGTAGGTAGGTACCTTTCCGCATGGTGCCACAATTCAAACGCCGTTTCCCCGGATTGACTGCACACTATTTTGCACTGCGATAGCAAACGCGCTACACGCACTCAGGTGAGAGTCAATTTGACCGCTTTTGACCACTTTTGACCACTTTTGACCACTTTTATATGTTTTTTTGGAAAGGTTTCTGGGCAGCGCGGCGCAGCCACGCCCAAATTTTGCATAGTTATCAACAATCGAACAGCGGATCGTTTGGTACCAACAAATTAAGATTTATCTTTTCAGGTCACTAACCTCGGGCAGGCCAAAGTCGGGCAGGTCAAAGTCAGGTCATGGATTTAGCGAAGATATTGTGTAGGGAATCGTGCAATCTGGTGCAACAATGGAGTGTTAGACGAAACCATACCTATTTCAGATAGTTTCTTAACACACACTACAATTAAATGAAAAAGTTCCATTGAACTAGGGTTAGTTATGAAGCTCAGACGAAGGTCAAACTGACTGTTTTGTTGCTGTGCGGCCTGCTGTATGGAATTGATTCTAGTGCTTATTTCGAATGTATTGATAAGAGGAACCACAATACACATCTTCCATCGACTTCCTAACACGCACTGAGATGAGGGATCAAATGGACCGCCCGAAGGTTTTCCAGAATGGTTTACTAACGCATCCGCACCAAATTCTGCATAGCTGTAGACAACTAAATTGTGGATCGCTCAGTATTAAAAATTTAGATGTACCTTGTAAGGTCGCTGACCTACGGCAGGCCAAAGTCAGCCCATGGATTCTGCGAAAGTCAATTTCTACGAAGTCGTTCAATCTGATGCAACAACGGAGTGTTAGACGAGACCATGCATCTCTGAGATGCTTGTTCAGGCAGCACAACAATTGAATGAGCAAGTTCAATGGACGTAAGGTCAGTTTTGAAGGTCAGACCATGGCCAACGCCAATCTTTTTCAGTACTCTAGGGCCTGCCGTGTGCGGTAGTTTCTGGTCCTCACTTCGAGGTTATTGACGACAGGAATCGCATTATAAATATTTCATGCACTTCCGAAAGGTCAGAATAGGTTGCTGACCTGACATGACCGAGATCAACATTTTGTTTTAGGAACATACCGCCCATCGTGGTCTTTGTCGCTTATTCAGATGCAAAACTCAGAGCAGTCTTGTGTGATTTCGGTCACCATGACCTTCGAAGGGTCAAACAAGGTCACTGACCTTAACTGGTTATATGAAATTCTGCTTAGAACAGGTATCTAAGTTCTGAGGGCACTTTTCAAGACTGACCTGGAAATTGACCTTGTTTGACCTTATTTGATCGGAATGTCGTGATCTAGGAACCTCAAACTTTGACCTGCGTGAGTTCAGATACAGGTCAATGCACCCTGTAAATTTTGTGTCTCCAGCTCTCTTAGTTCCTGAGACCTCAGAGGGTTCAAATTGACCCCCACCCGAGCGAGCGGTATCCAGCCGGGCGCGTGTTAAACGTCAAAAAGGTCACTGATCTGAAATGACCCAGGTCAACATTTTGGTTCAATGAATATGCTGCCTGATGTATTCTTTAACGCCTACTCAAATACAAAACTCAAAGCGGTCTTGTATCATTTTGGTCACCACGACCTTCAAAAGGTCAAAAAGGTCACTGACCTTAACTGAGCATTAGCAACTTTTTCCTTGAAAGAGGTGTGTAGGTTCTGGCGCAATTTGAACACCAACCTGTAGTTTGACCGTGCTTGACCTTATTTAATCTAGGGGTCATGACATAGGAACCTTAAATTTGGATACAAATGAATTTACGTACAGGCCAACAAACCCTGCGGATTAGATGTTTCTAGCTCTCTTGGCTTATGAGATCTCAGGCGGGGGTCAACTTGACCCTCCACCTGAGTAAAGGGCATTCAAGCGTCCACCTGGGCGCGTGTTAATAAACTCAAAATATGTATTTCCTTGTTTCCCTTGAATTGCTTGTGATGCGGTTATGGTCGAATATTCACTGCAAAGCAGCGAACTGAGCGGGAGGGGGATGATCATCCCCTATCCTCCCCTAGACGAGTCTAGCCCGCTCACACAAAGCTACCTGCCGTGCTCCAATTACTTTGGTCAAGTAACACTAAAATTTGCCAACACAACTTCTACCAATGCAGGTCACAGCAAGACAAAAATGACTGAGCGCCCATCCAGGCAGTACTATTTTATTCGGCTCTGAAATATATCTCAGCAAGGGATTTTACCAATTAGTTACATGCCACACTTACATGTCATCCTTGCTTGATTCGTGCACCGCATGCCCATCAATATCTTTTACTTTTTACATGACTCAGGATGTTTCATATCCTCATTAACTAGCTAGATAACGCAAAGTATTGCACGCGAAATTCTTTATCTTACAGTGTATTTGTGACTACTGCCTACCGATCCAGTGGAAATTTGTTTGGAATACAGATGTTGAAATATTATTGCCCCACAAAAACAAAAAATTGCACTCATAAGACACTTTTGAAAATAATTTGCAACACCATAAAACCACGTTGTTGTTCTCATTGAGCATAACCCACCAAAAACTGTTGATCAAAAACTGTTCGTCTGCAGTACGATAGCATTTAGTACTTTTGATTCTGGACAGCTGACTTTTGGTCCCAAACAGCGTCGACGGGAACATTTACGTACGGTGTCAGGACCGGTATGAAACTCGGCAAGCAGAGAACATATTTTGGATGGAGTTATTCTTTCTGGGAAGGATGGGCAATAGTTGCTTATGGGAATGGCCGCGGACCTGATTTTGACCCTTGCCCTGACAGAGGCATTATATATATATATATATATATATATATATATATATATATATATATATATATATATATCGGCTAATTCTAAATTGATAAGTTTCTTTACATAGGCTATCAGTCTTTTTGACAATAGGCCTCACGAATGGCCCATGTTCGTGGGCCGCGGCACCTATCGATAGCATTAAAAGCAGCAAATATATTTCTACAATTGACATCATCGCGAATAAGTTTTGTTCGTTGTATTGCCTTAAATTACTACACTTCTGTTATCAGGTATTATCTTCGGGCTCAGAAAAAAGTTAGCAAGGTAGATACCGTTCAAACCCACATGCGGGGTGGAGGTAGGACATGTCGACTACTTCGATTTTTTTTCAAACACACATGCAGAATACGCGAATAGTTCAAGCAAAATTCACGACTTTGTGAATGGGACACCTTTAATTTCGAGAAAACTGGTATCATAGATCAAATTGGTCATGTCTGACCTAACAAAAAATGAGAAGTGCAAGAAGGTGACATACTTTTTTAACGCAACAACAACGGCTGATGCAAGAATTCTAAAGCCCGCTATAGAGCACTAATTTAGTGGTCATGCGACTCAGCACATTTATCGCTGGGCAGCATTAATGACGTGCACCGTTTCGAGCACTAGCACCCTTCTCTCTTCGTTGCATCCGTTAAGAACGACATTGTTATGTACCAGAAAGTCTCGTCTGACATGTAGTCGGTATGGTACCCTTAAACGATCTTCAGGGCGCCGTTTTACCCTTTACCTTTGA